AGGGATATGTCTTAGTGAACTGGTAGTCCCAACAACCTTTTCTTTATACTTCTAACTTAGTTATCTCGAATCCTAAGGTATCTCGAAGTTTAATCCCGGAGTTCTTGATATCAAGATAACATAGTTTGACTGTATCTTTATTTTATTTGTATGCATGTTAAATTTTCTCCATTTTGAAAAATACTGACATTGAGATCTGTAGTTTTGATCAAAAATAAATTTTATGTTCATCCTTTTATTTTGCTTAGAAATATCTAGAAAACAGATTTCTCAATTCATGGTAAGAGTTTTGGACCAAACGTATTGATAATACAACTTTTTGTGAACAACCTTCAATATTCATATATCTGCTAAAAACATTTGTTGACATTTTTTTTAAATCATAAGAAGCTTTAAATTTAGAATTAAATTCAACAACTAATTTGTAGCTTTGGTATCAAGAAAAAACAAAAGAAGAATTTTTTATGACAACTTGTAGTCAGTACATGTATATTAATGTATATCACTAAGTGTTTGTATCAGATACAAAAACTAATAAAGCACTAAACCTACAAAGTCATAATATTTTGAAGTAATATTATCTTTTCTCTGTGTATGGTATTAACTTAAAGTGGTTTGTCATCATCCACACAGAAGAGCTAATGCCTACAAAGGCTAACACCCAACAGGTCCAGTTACTGCCATAAAGCAACATAGCAGCATTCAGCGGCAACAGAAACACAACTACTGAAGAAAAAAAATGTTAAGTTTTTGGCAAAAAGAAAATTTCTTGAAAAAAAAAATATGATCAGATACATGATGGGTAAACTAGTATTACAGATTTTTAAATATGATTGTTCATTAGTTTAACCCAACTGTGGGACTTACCCATATATCATAAAGTAACCCTTTGGCGGACCCCAGTAAACACAGGAACAGGAAGGTAGTGATGGTTGTGATGTTGCCAACCAATGGTAGATAAGGGATCTCCTTGACTTCCTTCTCATGTAAAGGGAGATATTCCGAGTTCTGAATAAATAATATTAAAATGACTAACATCTTAACTTTTTTTTTACTAATTTAGTAAGAACATCGAAAAACACACACTTGGAAAAAAGCTTCAGTTTCCTAAATGCATCTTTCCACTTTCAAATCATTCAGTAATTTAATTCATATTTTTTCCTACTAATATTGAAATTCAAATTGTCTTTTGCAAGTGCTTTATCCCAATGAGCATGGAAAAATTACGATAAGAATTAAGGAAAAAAGTTTGTATTTAAGAAGAATTAGGATACTTGTATCCAAATGGCTTTCACTTCTCACAATGCATATAAACTTACCCTACAAACAACTATTTTGGTGCATATACAAATGATGAGGTTTGCTACAAGGAAAAACTTCCAAGATGGCAGAATCAAGATGGGTTGTTTGCGTTCCTTGGTAACCAAATCAACAACTAATGAAAGGCCATCAAGTAAAACTACTAGCATGCATCTGCAAAAAATGAAATAATTGGCATGCAGTGTTTTACATTTTTTGTTAGTCATTGCATAGGTATACTTTTCATCACTCATTTTATCAATAACATTTCATAAATGTAGGAAGAATAAATATAAAGTACATGTAATTTCTGAAATTTATTCAAAATATTCAAATAGATGTATCAATTCAAAATATAACTCCTTTTTGGTATTTTATTTTCATTTGCTAACTTGTGGCCAAGATGTTCTGATTTTGAGAATGCAAAAAAGCACATACAAGACACATGGAAATAAGTCCAAATAAATGAGATTGAAACTCGTGCCTGGTCCCCAGGATACAACTAAATACATAGGAAACAGTCTTTTTCTGACAAATAATTCCACGGTAAATAAGAGAAACCTTGCTTAAGAAAATGTGGTAAAATAATTTGTACAGCAGTTAAACAAAAATATCAAGATGTTTGAAGTAATAGGGGAACATTACTTGATATTTCCCTTTTTACAGATAACTTGAAGTATACCACTCTCACTCTGAACCAACAGAATAATGTCTCATTTCTCAAGTTTCTAGAATATCTATAGAAGATTGCATTTTACTGTGAATGAATAGAGATTGTTGTGGGGTCCAGATTCATCAAACCTCAAATAAGCCAACACGCATTAAAGATTTTATACGTTTACATAGATTAAGCATGGAATATACTTTAACATGAGTTTGGGATGTTTCAGCACCGATTCCAACTGACTATGATTTTCAAGATTAATCTATACTTACTGAACAATGATAGAACATGATAAAAGGAATAACAATAAATTAAAAAGAAATCAAGTATTAAACAGCTATTGAGCGACTGCTGACATTTCAGCTGCATGTACATAATAGATTCAAAGTAGATTAAAGATCAAGTGTCAATAAATATAAACAAAAGTCATTTAAGAGATTTACTGTCTATCTCTGACTGTGCATCAGGTGGGATTAAGACAGTGCAGAATTTATAAGATTTAACACATTCGCCGAGAAGGGGGGGGGGATTTAATATCAATTAATGCAAAGTCTGAAAAGTTTATTTACACAGTAATTTGTATTAAGTCCGAGAAAGGTAGTATTTTACACCGTAGCACTTTTTACTAACTGGATATTTAAAAAAAACATTAATTCAATTGCTGCGTTAAATACATATAAGTGAAATCATGCTATCAAAAATTGATCTGTTGTACAAATCAAATTAAGAAGAAGGTATGGTTTTAGCTGTATTGTGCCCTAAAAATTTAATGTTTTAAAAAAGTTTTGAAACTGGCTTAAATATTAGTTGAGTATATGACTAATAAATCGGGAAGAATATAGCATGATGGAGTACCATTCTGGATATATGACGTCATTAATTTGATGCATTTCTCTATTTTAAACAGAAAAAGCCTCAAAATGACCCATTTCAAGGGTTATTTTCCCTAAGAAAATAGTGTCCACAGCCGTCGCCCACGTTAATTTTTAGATATGTTGTGTAAAGTTCTTTAGAAAATCACATATCTCAAAATCTTTGTGGGTGATGCCTGTGGACAATATTATCTGAAAGAAAACTTTTTAAGAAAATACGGGAAAATGAACAAGTTTATGACGTCACAATTAGCATTTGGAAGGTAATATGAGAAAAAAGATCTGTATGATCTTTCTGCATGGAATTTCAATAATTCAAAAAGCATGAGTTTTAATTTTTTTACATCACTTTTATTTTTAAGAAAAACACAGGGCAAGATTTGTATTGAAACCGTACCTTGTTCTTTGTACATTAATGATATTAACGTTTTGAACAAAGAGACCGATATTTTTGCATGCATTTTTTTTTTCTCTTCAGTTAATTTATTATCAAATAAAACAAATAACTGCATGCAATATTTAATTCAAACATAAAGATATCATAAAATTTATGAAGATGTGTATGTTTGATTTACTGATCACGTCAAATGAATTCATAATATTTTCAGGTATTTTTTTTACATCCCCACTAATTTAGTCGGTCATGCTAAACTGATTATTTATTTATATACATATATAATCTGAAAAATATTTTTTTCCATATAAATTGTTAAACTAATATTTAAACATATATTATAAGTATAGCTTGCAGGATTCATGGTCTATTTATTTTAAAACGGTTTTATTTATGACGAATTGATTGTGTTATTTATACACTTGATTATACAAGATGGACGCAAGGATTTTAGTTCTTTGTGGTTTAACTTGATAATCTGTGAAATTTCTACAGATGGTGGTCTATGACCAGGACGCAGATTTACATTTTACTACAAACACATGGTTCTGTCAAGTTTACGACAAGATTTCAAACGCCCGCGGGAAAGTCAAATAATGACTTTTTTAATGTTTCTGTGAAAAATACGAATATTAGATTCTAATTAAGATTTTCCATTCTCACATAAACAAACAAAGCCAATCTTCCATGTTAAATAGTACGTTGAAATACACAAAATCTTCAAAAGAATCTAGTTGTTTATAACTTGATATTCGTGCATTTGTCATGCTGCTATTCTTTGTTGTTTGTTATTTGCTGACTATAAATGAAAAATTAATGCATTATAAAATATTTACACATTCATTATGTACATGTGTCGTAATGGTTGCACCTTTTTCATACTCGCCGTAAAGGAATGATAAATCACATTGATTAATTTATATAAATCCCAGTGCATGCATACACCAAAGCATCTCCAAACCACTTCAAACTTTAATGGCCATCTGAGGTCTTTTATACATGACAATACGTGAGTAAACCTCAGAGTCGATTGTGTTGGGCCGAGGAATACACGTGAATTTTGTATTCACTTGATCCACTGATAGTACCGCATTGGAATACAAGCAATTGTCCACAAATGGACCTATACAATGGAGTGGATAAAATCCAAAATTTAACTTTGAAAAACAATTGTGTTAAGAATGCATCATGTCTTTCCGAGAGCGATTTCAAAAACTGTCCTTTTCCAGCCGTAGTATTTTTTTTGTAGTAACTCATAATGCAATTCAATTCATTTAGCTGATTGGTCGATTTGTCAGTAACGCTAGTGCCTCATTTAGCATTTAGATTTATTCTGACGTCACAGAAAATAGTTTCCTGGTTCTGTTAACCAAATGGCAATTCTGTATTCGATTTCCATCCCTAGATTTAAGTGTAAAATTTAAAGATTAAAATATAAAATTTACAGATGAGAAGGTAAACTTTACACATTAAAGTATGATACAATGTATTTGGAGATTAGAGTTAAGATTTTAAAGACAAAAGTGTTAATTTATTGGGATTATTATTTACATTTTACTGAATAATTTGTAAAATGAACAATTTATTGAATGTATTTAACAGATTAAAGCGTAAATCTTACAGTTTAAAGTGTAAATTTTATAGATAAAAAATGATAAATAAAAAAGGTGTCTATGTTGCACGAATACGCTTCCGTACCCGGAGGCTATTAGTTATCACGCAACAACTTTGAATAAAAGTCAAGTTGGGTGGTTTGTTTATATAAAATAACATGGCGGATGGTGAAACAAAATATCCACTGGGTTCACCATTACAGCAAGTACATATGTGTGAGGAACACGATTCAATCATTGACATTCTGTGTGAGGATTGTTATGCATTTATTTGTTCTGTCTGTGCAAGATTGAACCATAATGATCACAAATGGGTAACTCAAGCCACGGCAGCTTTACAAAGAAGAAGAGGACTCCATGAATATCTTTGTAGTATAAAGGAAGAAAAAATATCAAGGATTGACGAAGACATACAGAAGATGGTGTCACAGATCGAAGAAAATGAAAACATTTGTGATGTTCAGATAAAAGACTTACAGGAGCATTATAATGAAATCATATTCAAGCTAACAGAAATCAAGAAAAATCAAGAACATATACTGAAAGACAAACTATTCAAAACGAATGAAAAGGTAAAGAATGCAAAATATCAGTTAGAAAAGAAAAAGAAACTTATGATTGACATGGTGGAATTCATGGAGAAAAACAATACTTCCATGTCTGATTTCAGCTTGATTGACAATCACAAACAACTTAAAAATTTATTGTTAGAAATGGATACATATTTTAATAATTGTGTTCATACAACAAAGTACAATAGAGGAGAATATAAGCAGGATATATTGTAGTATATGATGGGTCAAATATTAGACTTAGATGACATTTGTCATGCTGAAACAAACTCATTCAAATATGGAGAAAAAGGAATTGCTGTTTTGCAGGCATTCTGTGAAGATGAATGTTATATAAAAGGTATTCAATTAGATTGCATTGATAGAGTCAACAAACAAGGAAAAATAAAATATCGATTCAGTGTGTCTCCTGCGGGTGTTTGTGTCACTGATAATGGTAACGTTTATATAACTGATAATGAGAAAAATTCCATTTGTCGTCTGTTTCCATCGGGGCGTGTCTTTGAAATATACAGTACAGAACCATTGATACCTGAAGGAATATGTCAATCAGTGGACGGTGGGCTTTTTTTCACATTAAGAGACAACGAATCTCCCGTCTTTCAATTAAACACATGCAGCAGACGCCTTGTAAAAAAACTTACATTAACCGGGGTCGATGAGTTTCAGAAGGACAGTCGTACGAGGTTGTCTACATGGCTTGTCAGAGTCATGCAGAATAATAACACTGATATTTGTGTTGTGAACCTGACAAGCGACACAACAGGTGAAATTGTGATTGTGTCTTCTTCTAGTCATCTGAGGTCTGTATACAGTGGACATGATCTGCTAGGAAGCTTTTGTCCATTTAACCTTGTGTGCGACACCCATTCAAACATTCTTGTTACTGACCCAACAAACCACAATATCCATTTACTGAGTCCTGACGGAAAGTTTCTGAAGTATTTACTGACAGAGAGAGAAGTGACCTCGCCAAGTTCAATATCACTACATAGATCTACACTGTGGGTTGGAGATTTTTATGGGCGCGTAAAAGTGTTTCACTACAGTCATTCCCAATAAAATAACTTTTCATAGGGAAATTCGAATACATCTTGCATCCATGCCAGCTTTCTATATCATCATAAAGTATTGGTCACAACAGACACTTAAACTATCCCATTACGATTGTTTAGCAGTATTTCCTTCTGGAAATGAACTCAACTCCTTTAATAATATGAAACCAAATCCTTTTACACATGAACAGTTTGTGTTACAATTGAGTGGAGAAAACATTTCAAGGCAAAGATTTCAATAGAAGAATATGCCACCGGTTGCAGGTCAGAGCGAAAAATATAGATATATAAATTGAACGGAAACTGAACATTTAGTCTTGGCATCATATCCGTAAGACTAACAATTTACCTTTGACCCTGTGAACCTTTTCTCTCGGCATTTGAACATTTATTCTCAGCAGTTGATCTATTGCTGATAATAATATGCTCCTTGCATCGGAAATATTTTTTTTTTACCCTGATAACCCAAGAAGAAATCAGAAATGGATAGCATGATACTCTATGACAGGCAATGAAATTGTTTCGATGAAGGGTGTTTCACCACCTATAATGGAATTCAAATGAACGTATACATTTTAACAAAATAAGGATTTTCCATTTCAAAATTTAGATAGCAGTTCAGCATGCGAAAGTTTAAGGGGCTCTTCTAAATACTTAAATTCTTTATGTGTCATTCAATTTTAAAAAGAGAGAGTGGGGTCGAATATAGTGCAATGAAAGTTAAAAGCATAGATGTTTTAAAAATACCAGAAATATAGGTCTAACCTAGATCAAATACACTGTAACTTGTTTTTGCACTTTCCTTCACAGATGATTTATGAAACGAAATGTGGCCATTTTCGGCTGCATTAACCAATTGAAGAAAAAAAATCAACAATTGTTTTATGAGCGAGGAGCGGGGGGTTGGGTTTGGAGAGGGGGGATATCATGCATTAGTTAGCAAACAGTTGACATTAATGCATGTTACACATAGTTACACAAGTATAACATATGAAGTACAGTCAATTCTGTATTTAGAGACATATCAAGGGAAAGTCTGAAATGGTCATATTTGACAGGTAGTCTCTTAAATCAGGGAACCATATTAGGGCAATTTTTTAAGTAGATGCATAAATACTATTTACTATAATACATGAACGTCTACTTGTTTACCTGTTCCTTTTCCCTCATCATAGTTAATGATCTTCACTCTCTTAATAAAAGGAATATATTCAATTAAGTTTAGTTCGTAGAAATTGTTTTTATTCCTAATTGAGTTAAGTATATTTTCTTAATCCAAAATATATAGGTTTTTATCATATTTCACACTTTACGACAGTGTAATTGGAAAACACTGCTCATAAGAAGATTTGGCCCAAAATGGAAAAACAAAATACTAAGATAATCACAAAAAAAGGCAATGACTTTTATGCACAAATTAAACACACTAATTTTGACTCTTCTTGTCAAAACTTCAAGGTTAATTCAGAGTTACTTTTAATGTTTCTTATTTTATATGTTTCTATATGATATAAACTCACACACTGAAAGACTTCATTATGAAAATTTTTTTTGCAAACACTTCTTTGATAATTAATTGGGGTAGAAATTGATGGGGTCGGGGACAGGCACTAAGCACTTTATTATTTTTGCTATTAGAAGCTGGGCTAAAAGTCGCTAAATACGGGAAAGAATGGTTGGATGTCGCATTAGACAGGGATCCGGAATCGCCAAATGCTGGTGAAATATATTGAAATATTCTATGGGAAAAAATAACGTTTGCATATGACAGGAAGCCGCTAAATACACATGATTGTTATGATACTTTGACTGTATATCATTACATAATTGTCTTATATAATTGGAGTTTATTAAATATTGAGATATAAAACAGTTTTTGTCTTTTTAAATCTGAAATCAATGGATGAAAATATATAAACAAGTCTGTATCATGTAAAGTATCAAATGTTGCAAATCTAGAAGACTAGAAGATGATACTCTAGTTAGTGCATTTGTAAATTTTCAAATTTTTAGCACATACGGTCATTGATTTCGATAAATCTTTGCCCATTATTACAACTTGACACTAAAAACATACATCTAATAAAATTTGCTGTGTCTTGATTGCCAAGGTAACAGTCGTTAAAGTTTGAAAAATGAGATTTTCAGCTACTTCGAATCTTTATTGAGCCTAAGTTAAGACTAAGAAAATAAAAAAAATTGCTCTCACAAAAACATTTTTGCTATACATTTAACTGTTTAGAATATATCACTAAGTAAGTGGTAACCATGGGTACATCTGGAATACATTTTAAAAGCTGAAAATTTTTCAATACACATGTATATTCATTCATATCAAGTGTTATTTGCTCAAATGTAATCAACACAACCAGATTTGACCTTGAGTAATATGGAATTAGCACTATTATTCAAATAAAAAAAAAACTTTCATGGCTGCCATGGTAACAAAGTGTAGCTTCACAAAAGAGCAATATATGATGAGTGTCTTTAATGGTTGGCTTTGATTAATGCTGATATCTTAAGGAAAGACATGGAAATTCAAGTCTGAAACACCCGGACACTATAAGTTACAATATATATAGACTTATATCGTGAGAACATGTTTTAATTTTTGTTTGTAACTCAAAATTCAAAATACTCGTGTTAGAGTAATATGTCAGGCTAATATTCATGTCAAAAAATAGGGTGTTCTAAGGTGGCGTCCCTCTTATTAATAAGCTTCTGACTCATGTCCTCAGAATAACACTTAAATTGTATTGAAACAAAACAAAATACTTCCCGGCAATCTCACTAAACTTTTCTATGCATAATTTATGTTGAATTCAACCTTAAGGCATATCATTCTAAACTTAAGTCATTTAAACTTTCACGTCACGTGTCACTGTCACGTCAGTTTATTTTTTTTTTTCATTTAAAGTGAGCCATGTGAGTTTTTAACATCCACTATTTTTAAGCCTGTTGACCTTCACCTTTTAAAATTATTGTGGATTTGCACGCCATCTATCGTCAATTCAGTTAATGAATTTTTTGCATTGGTAATTAGTTAACATTATTCCTTTTGCAGCGGAGTCGACGTCTGTTGATTTTGCAGTTGAGTCTGTTGATTTTATTTTAAGCTGTTTGCATTGTATTTCAGTATGTTTTTGCAAATTAATTGTTTGTTTTGTGTAAACGTATTTTTTACCCTTTCCGCGCCCATAGATGTAATTTCCTCGTGATTGGTAATTAATGGTGACACATTTCTAGCTGCCGTAATTTGGTATAAATTGCTTTATCTGCGTAGTTAAAAATAGTGTAAGGACTAAGGTTACCCCTCCCTTGATAAAGATCATCGAAAAGCGTTGTTGTAAATTAGGATTGGGGTAAAAAGCTGAGTGGAGTGGAGTTATATGGAGTCATGAAGTGGCGTCTGTATTGTAACAGTATACAATGTTTAAAAACAAATCGATTCCAGAAACAAAATCCATGCAGCAATTAAAAAAACTAATAACCTTTAAATGGCACAAAGAAGAACAACTAAAATGTGTGTGTTTATGTGGTTATATATATAGAGAGAGAGGGAGAGAGAGAGAACAAAGACTAGATGAGACATTAACAACATCTAAACTAGGGTCAGATATACGAACCTGCACTTCTATCTAAAACAAACAACCCTTGTAAGAGGTGCATGTTGACAGCATTAATATCAAATGGATAAATAACAATCGAATATATCGAGGAACTGGTTACGATAATTAAATGATAAATTTACAAAATTATTTTAATTACCAGTTTTTCTTCTCCCCCTTTTAAGGTTTTACTATTAAAGTGCAAGCTACCCTCTTTGTTGATATTTGAAAGTCATTAGTCCCCCCCCCCCCCCCCCGTCCAGTATCTCAGTTCATTGTTTGATGTGTTTCAATTTGTAAAAATTAACATATTTCCCTTTTTCTGGTTGAATTGGGGAAAATGCAACAGTAGCTACAATGAAGATATATAGTGTTTTTTGTCAACTAGATCCATCAGTTAATTGGGTCCAGGATAAATTACATGTATAAAGAAAAAAATATTTATTGAAATATACTCATTCACTCATGCTGTTATTTCTAATTTTTGTAATAATTGTGCTATTAACAATGATGCATCATTCATTAACTTAAAATTTATCATCGTTGTTTCTTG